TGTCCGTCCGCAAAATGAAGTGAGTGAGAAGGAAGCTCATGGGATAAACAAACCGCTAACAAATCGGGTAGCTTACAGGATTTGAGATATCAATGTTTTGTAGCAGGATAGTTGTGATAACACTCTTAGGGCTATATAAACACCTGCTTAGCACACTTCCGTTCATTCCACATGGTGCTGCAGTGGCAGCTGGAGGGCAGTGGAGAGAGGAAGGGAGGATGAAGGGAAGCGAAAAATCTACCGTCATATCATGATTGTGTCCCTTCTACTGTATGAAACACCATTGTGTTGCATACGCGTCACTTCCAGGTGTTGGTGTCACAGGAGGAAGGGACCATAGCGGAGGATAGAAAGCTTGCGCAGGAAAGGAAGGTCCCGGCGGTTGACGGGGGACTAATCTGGTAAAAATAAAAAAAAAAACAAGTGAGACAAAAATATTACCTAGTGGGAATACAGATCAAATATACAATAGAATTCTATTTCAGTCGTGCTCCCTGAGCGAGTTCGTTATTCGAATGACCTTGTTTGCAAAATTCTTACTTTTATTCACCTCCTATAAGGTTACGGCTTGCTATTCTTATACTATACATTTATATTTACCAGTTTTGCTTCGCCCGCTATCGCGCGCATCACACGGCAGGCTTTAGCGAAATTGGAGGACCCATGGAATATCAGCATGAGATACTCCATTAACCATCTCACTATTGACTGTGTTAGACCCTCCACAGTTTCACTGAAGCTCATCGAGAATACGCGTGATAACGTCTGGAGCTGAACTGGTATATTGATCACAACTCTGTAAACATCCAGCATTTTTCTTGAATTAAGATAATTTAGCGGTGAATAGGATTTTTGCTGTCAGTCTCAAAATGAAAATGAAATATGCCTATTTACATAAGTGAGGAGCTAGGCTTATCATTCATTTACATTCACCATTATTTAGAACCCCGAAAGGATTAGCGGTTTAATGAAGTTTGGGTTTTCTTGATAGTGCGTCAGAAATGAACCTTATCATTTGCTGAAGTTTAGGTTTATGCATTCTATTAAGCAAGCACACAATTTGTAGTGGAACGCTCCAGTGTCAACGCTTTGTAACGGAATCGACGACTGCAGCGTTCTGGCGCACCTTATCGGCCCTTATCAATCGTTATCAGTTTCTGGCACCCACCAACAATGTCCCCGTCCCACCCCACATAACACTTGTAAGTATGGTTGCTCTGGTGTCAACGCGAGCCAGGCAACGGAATCGACGACTTCAGCGTTCTGGCGCGCCTTATCGGCCCTTATCAATCGTTATCAGTTTCTGGCACCCACCAACAATGTCCCCGTCCCACCCCACATAACACTTGTAAATATGGTTGCTCTGGTGTCAACGCGAGCCAGGCAACGGAATCGACGACTTCAGCGTTCTGGCGCGCCTTATCGGCCCTTATCAATCGTTATCAGTTTCTGGCACCCACCAACAATGTCCCCGTCCCACCCCACATAACACTTGTAAGTATGGTTGCTCTGGTGTCAACGCGAGCCAGGCAACGGAATCGACGACTTTTGCGTTCTAGCGCATCTTATCAGCCATTATCAGTTGCTATCGCTTCCAATCATGTACCACCAATGTCCGGGACCGCCCCACATAACACTTGTAAGTATAGACGCTCTTTACCAATATGAACGGCAAAACGAAATTGGCGATGCTCGCTTTCTAGCCCCTCTTATCAGCTATTATCAGTCGTTATCAGTTCCTATCACGTACCACTTGTGTCCCCATCCCACCCCCTATAACATATGTAAGAACCACTGCGCTATCGTTACTGTGACTCGAGCTATGAATTTCCGGTCAAACACACACACACACACACACACCAACAGACACACGCTAGCCGCTTATATATATAGTAGGATAGAGTGGAAAGGTTTGAAGCGTTGAAAACTTCATTGTTTGCAGCTGAGTTGGATTTTCGATTTTCGCCTTAACCCTTTCGGACCTGAATTTTTCCCCGTGGAGAAATTTTCTTCTAGCTATTGTTTATTACTTGTGAGCATATAGGTATCATTATGGCGAAATTTGGAAGCTATTCGATCACAAACAAAGAAACTAAGAAGCTTTGAAAATTGGCCCACCTTCTTAGTTTTTAAGCTTATGTCGAAACAATTCGAAATTTCATAGTTATGCCGAAAAAGTTTATAATCTTGCATAACATTATAACCCATAATTTTGATTTAGGAATGGATCTACTTCAAGTATTTTAAGAAAAAGTGACACTTACTTGGCCGGTTGCGGGGTCAGCGCCGATTCATTGTTGCACTTGTACACAAATACTTGTAATACTAACAGCAACACACAATGAAATGGCAGGTTTAGCTCATAATTAGGAAGGGGAAGGTTGACTGAAGCAACCTCTAGCAGGATTAGAAAAACCATGCTGTTTCAGCGGCAATGCAAGCGTTTGAATTTGGTGGTGGGCTACATCCACCATTAAATTCCAACGTTTCATCCACGTCTAGTAAAGCTGGTGCTACCGTCCAAAAGTCATTGGAGCACAGCTTCATCGAACAGCTACCGTTTGCACAACTCGAGCTTCAAAAACATCTTCGTGCGCAAAAGCATGACCACAGAAGAGCGCAGTCGTGAGCTCCAGCTTCGGCAAGAGTGTAAGGCGCGCAATGACCAACTTGGCAACCGTGTTTAAATCGCCCGTGGTGAGTTAAGGCGTGCCGATGAGCTTCCCAAAGCACAAACGTCGGGAAACGCCTAACGCAGCACGAAACACCAACAGGGATAAGAAGTTTCCTCTTTAATTCAAGAAGCCTAACTAATAAACTCCACCATCTCCAATTCTTCCTCGATATTTATAATCCTGATCTAGTTTTTATTACTGAAACATGGTTGTCTTCTAAAATTTCGGATACTGAGGTTCTTTCTGGTAGACCGTACAACATTTTTAGACTTGACCGAAAAAGCCATAGAGGAGGCGGTGTTTGTTGTATAGCTAAGGATACTATTCACCTTATATCCCTAGCCAACACGCGGTAAATCAGTTCTGGATCTAGTGCTGGCTAATACCTCGCTTGTCAAAAATGTGCATGTAGGTCCACCATTTGCCTACGTCCGATCACAACGTTGTTTCTTTCGAGGTTTCTGTTTCGTCGCATAAGCCTAAACTGCTTCCTCTGCTGAAACAGCATGGTTTTTCTAATCCTGCTAGAGGTTGCTTCAGTCAACCTTCCCCTTCCTAATTATGAGCTAAACCTGCCATTTCATTGTGTGTTGCTGTTAGTATTACAAGTATTTGTGTACAAGTGCAACAATGAATGGGCGCTGACCCCCGCAACCGGCCAAGTAAGTGTGACTTTTTCTTAAAATACTTGAAGTAGATCCATTCCTAAATCAAAATTATGGGTTATAATGTTATGCAAGATTATAAACTTTTTCGGCATAACTATGAAATTTCGAATTGTTTCGACATAAGCTTAAAAACTAAGAAGGTGGGCCAATTTTCAAAGCTTCTTAGTTTCTTTGTTTGTGATCGAATAGCTTCCAAATTTCGCCATAATGATACCTATATGCTCACAAGTAATAAACAATAGCTAGAAGAAAAATTTCTCTACGGGGAAAAATTCAGGTCCGAAAGGGTTAAAGCATAACTGGTTTGGTTACTGTTTAGTTGTTGTATCACACCT